AAAGTGTGGAGAATTGTAATGTACAAACCTGTCAACCTGCAAATGCACAGAACTCCCCCATTCCCCTCCAGTTAGTGTCACACTAACTTCTACCAGCTCTACTGAGAAAAAATAGCATTCCTCATTTGCAGAAGAGGAGAAAGCAATCAAAATCAATACCTCTTATGAGGCACAAATTTAAAATACTGAGAAGAAATGCAACTTTTGCAAGTAAAGTTGGTATCCCTTGTCCTGCAGCAGTTGCTCTCTTCTTTCTGTAAATCCTGACCACTGACATTTCTGAAATGAAGCATTTCCGAGCAAACCACGGAACAACAGTATATCTAATAGAGAGCAGCATGAATACACTTTATGTTTTTTACTTCCCCTGAAGACTGTCTTCTTAGATACTACAAGACACCTGACGATGAGGCTGCGCTGGGACTTGGCAGCAATCTGCTGACACACCGTAAACGTCAGGTGCCTGAAGTATTAAGAATGATCTGTACTTTATCCTATAATGCTACATGACTGAATACCTCTGTAAATGTGGCAATTCCCAGCTTGAGAACTACTTGTAACACATTTCGTTTCTTTTTGTTGTTGTTTAATAAAAGCTGTGACCACCGCTTCTACTATATTCTCTCCTCTCTCACTGCTGATAYATTTACAAATCCCTCCACGCTGCATCACAACTCTAATAATAAATAATCTCTAGGATTATCAGTGTGACTTGAATATGTAGAAAGCTTTCTTGCACTTGAAAGAATCAATTTCTAGAACCTTCTTAAGGGATCCATCCACCCTTTTATCTGCTGTAAACCTGAAGGAAAAGAAGTTGCTGCTTGTTCTAAGGAAAGATTTTCCTATGTTATCATGAACACAGAAGTTTTTTAGCAGGAGTGATTTGAACATATACACATATACATGATATTGCATTCTACTTCTGCTTCTTCAAACACAAATTCAAATTCTGTTTCTCAAAGTCAGGTGAACAGACAAGTTTGATTTACTCACCAGAATGAGATGGCCAGAATTAACATAAGAGAACTTAAGGTCTAGAAAATTCTTCTTTCAGACATGTGGAGATTCCATTGTCTCCAGTTATCTCCTTTTTCCACAGTAAAAATATCTATTTTGGATCTGAAGTGATTCCAAGCTTCCAAAGAATTTTGAATCTGGCATTTATGACTACAGAGTTTATAACTAAATATTTAGTTATTTAGTTTAACTAAATGTTTTAATTGAGTTGCTTTTTGGAGTACATAATACTGTTCCTAAAATATGMTTAGAATGATTGCTGAAGTTAAAAACGATAAAACATGCCAATGTGTATTTGTCTTAACTTCTCAGCRCGTTGTTAATCACTGCTTTTCATATAAATCAACCTTAAATTTAAATTAAATCACAAATGTTCTGATTTTCAGAGGTCCTAAGCACTGGTAAGTCTCCTACATCAATGCTCCAGCTATTCATTATCCTTAGCTATTAATCCAAAATTCTACACATATAATTGATGCATATTTAAATCATTGAATTACTATATCATAGAACATCATTGTTTCAAAAAAGTGAAGTACAAAACCATCACATATAACTACAGGCTACAAAGAAGTGAGTAAAACATAAGTTGTTAAAACTTATGACTAAGGTATAACAGAAGTCACTTTAAGAGAGACAAGATTACCCTGCTCTTACACATAATCAGACTGTACTTTATTCAGCCTCCTTTTGGGTCAGCTTGAAACCCATGGTCACTAAGTAACACTTTACTCCACAGGTATTCATTGATTTTAATTGGGCTATCTGTAGGATAAAATACTATTCAGCAGAAATAAGGGAATCATATTCTGGTTTATTGACTTCACTGGCTCTTACTGCAAAGCAGAAAAAGTGTTATGTGCTCCTCATAAGAGTGAGAAAATCTGGATCTTACTGTGAAAGCAATTATTTATTTCATTTTAAATATTTATAGAATCAGTTGAATGAACTAAGTAATACAGCATATTTTAAATACACATATATATATTTTAATAACTGTCTCTTGCTAGAGACCTCTGTCATTAGATACTTGCTGAGAAAATGAGACTGAAGGAAAGCAGTTCAGTTCTATGAATTATATAGTGTTGGATTATCATGGTTCAGTAATACACCTCGAGAAAAAAAAAAGGAATATTTGCTAGAGAATCTTTACACAATCATTTAGCTCTGTCATATTGAGGTAATGAAGTTTTTTTTTTTTTCAATTGATTAATGAAAGGAGATGACACAGCAGCTGTTTGGACTCTCTATCTTTTTTTTTTTTTTTCTCTCCCTTCTTCAACAGGCTATACCTTTGATTCCTAACTCTGCAATTTACTCTTCCAGATACAGGTTTCCTGGAGCGATCAAGGATATATTAGATCCAGAGAGAGGGCTCATCATTTACACTTTCTCTACACTTTCTCTACAAGTTTGCAGCTTGAATTTTACATGATGTAGAAGAACAGTAGCAGACACAAATTAGCATCTGTGTTCTAAGTGCAAGTTTTATAAAAAATTTACTGTAGGGATACAGAGATAGAGAATAAAAAGTATTTTTTAGTAGTAAAAAATTACAGTGAAAAGGACCAGGTTTCTTTATCCGACTACTTTAATTCTGTGTCTTTCCTAAGCATAGCCCAACTTCTGTAATATAGTGTATTTGCTCTTTTAATATACTTACAAAATATTCTGTTAGTAATACATTCAAAGGGGCATTTACTAATGAAAAATGAATGTTTCCTAATCTACAAGTTAGACTATCTAAATAGCCAGAACACTCTGTATAGATACTGCGGGAAAGCAAAGAAAAAAAATAGATATATACTAAGCCAGCATGTACTAGGAGGAATTATGGTGAACTTTTGCTACGGTTACCATATCGGAAACTCTTATAGAAACCACAACACACCTTTTTAAGGGAGGAAATTCCTCTTTTAGCTTTATATAGATCTCAGGAAAAAAAATCATGATTGATATTATACAGTGAACACTGTAAAAAAAAAAAGGAATCATATTTTCCATAGGGATTTTACACTACAATTGGATTTTTACTACTCAGTAGGATCAATACATGAATTATTTGCTTTATAAAGACATTACATGTTTTTTTAAAAGTATATTTTTCTATCTTTTAGTAACTAGTACACTCATCATTTGGAAAAAAAATAGCATTCTGACCACTCCATTTTACAGTAAAAAATGTTGACATTACTTAAACAAGTGTCATTGAAAATTATTTGTCTTTTAAAGCATGAATTATAAATCAAATTATCTTCGGTTGTGCCCTAACCTAAGCTCCTTCCTGAAGTGTCACTTTTTGTTAAAATCAATTTCCAATTTTAAGTATTGCTCTACTCACCTAATTGATAGCAACACAAATTCATGATAGGCATAAAATGAAACTGTTTCTGTGACACAGCTCAATAAATAGTGAGTTGAGTATTAGTTCACAGTGACATTGTACAGATAGTCTTTTTTTTTTTTTTTCTTTTAACATATATATTCAATTTATAGACAATCAATGCTAGAATTTTGGTTACTTGACAATTACTAGAGGCTACCTATTTGGTTTATAAAATTAGATGCAGCCGGCAACTAGAACATTCGATGTGCACAGATTGCACAGTATGATAACTCAAAGGTATATACATATATATATTTTTTTTTTTTTTTGGGGGGGGGTACATAAGTTTCTGCAGCACAACTTCTTCCCCACTAGCTGCATACACAAAATGAGTCTGTGTCACTTCTGATACACTCAGCTCATTCTCCTATGACTAAGAACAGCATATGAGGAGAACCACAGGACAAAACAGATATGACATTTCAAATATATTTAATAGTCATTATCCAGAGCCTGCATTCAATTCAAATGTTAAAAAATCTCTTTGGAACATACCTGTAGAATTTGAACATTAGGATGCATTAATCATGAAGTCACACTTCATGTTAAATCAACTGGAGCCAAATTCTGCCCTCACTTTCAGTCTGCAAGTTCACTGCTCTGGAATATACCCTCTGAATTTGCACTTGACACTAGCTGCTAAAAATTAAAATGGTCCAAATTCTGCCATTTCTCGCATTCATAAAAGTTAGTAAGACAGTGTGGATATAACTGACAGCAGAATGCAGCCCAGCTGTAATTTCTAAAAGAGCTTTGGTAGAAAAGAGAACATGTAAGTCTTTCGCTATAAAGCAATAATCAATATTGATTCAGGCTACTGGAAATCTGACCGGTTGTTTTGCTGTTTTATGACAGGATGTGAGTTTTGTTAACATTTGGGGGGTAGGAGGGAATTACCACACACATTTTTTTTCTACTTGACCAAGCAAAACTTTCAACATTGGAAGTTTGGTTGTTTATGGGGAGAGGAGGAGGCAATGGGGCCCCAATAATTCTGTTCTGTGTCAAAAATAAATATTTAAGTGTATATATATATTCTGAAGAAGGAAATTAAAAAAAAAATAAAGCATACATCTCGGGAGGAAAACTCTTATTTACATACAGGATTGGAAGGCTATAATACACTGTTGCAATAGATGTCCTCAGTGTGTAGAGTTTCTCCCATGTTCTGTTAGTTACTGCAGATGATATGACTTCTTCAGACATGCCCTCCTCCTTCCCCACCCCAAATTAAAACAAAGTGAAACCTGTAGATGAGCCCATCTCTGTCTGATGATCATCAGGGAAAATACTCCAAAGTTGCCCAAATGTATGAAATGCCTGCCTGCACTCTCACACACACCTCTTTTACACTGCTGTAACTCCATTTATCTCAGGGCAGATTTACTTTTAAAGTCACACAGGAAACACCAGTGTGACTGCAGAAGCAGACCCACCAATGCGATCTGCTGCCACTTTTATTTTAAGTCCACCTCTCTTAAGTGACTTGTGTTGTTCCCTTCAGTGGTGCCTGACAGCAGATATCACTGCAGACAAAAAGTAAAGTTAAACCAGCGTCTAAAGTGAGGTCCGGGGTATTCTAAAAGTCTCCTACCTGAATTATGGACATCCGGCTCGGGGGAGCCTCGCTGGCGTTAGTCCCTTGCCCTGTGAAGCTGGTGTGGCAGCCCACATGTCCCTGGGGTACAGTCAGGTTGTTGGAGGCGGGCTTCAGGTACATCACCTCAGACCTGGGAGAGCTGAGGGGCAGGCGGGTCTGGTAGTCAAAGTACATGGGTGAGGTGGCCAGGGATGGGCTGCTCACCACGTTCATGACATTGAGGGGGCCCCGGCTGTCCTCGCCCTCACTGGGCACCAGCATAATGTCATTCTTGCTGATCTTCTTCTTCTTGCCCTTGCCCCCTCCACTGCCACTGCCTCCTCCTCCCCCGCCACTGCCTCCCCCTCCTCCCAGCTGAGGGTGGCTATACTCGGCAATGCGACAATTATAGGTGCGGATCTCCTTGTTCTCTCGCTTGCACTTCACGGCAATAGTGATCATGGCAGCCAGCAGGATGATGGAGACAGTGCTCAGGGTCACGATCAGGGGCAGCGACAAGTCCCAGTGCGGTCGCCGATGCTGCTCGCCATTCACCTGTGGCTCACCAGCCTCAGGCAGGGGCCCAGCCAAGGCCCTAACAATGAGCTTGGCCACTGCGGAGAGGCTGGGCTTGCCATGGTCACTGACTTTTACCACCAGTTCAGCCACAGGGCTGAGCTCCTCCCAGTAGGGGTGCAAGGTGCGTATCTCACCACTAGTTGGGTCCATCTCAAAGAGATGCTCCTCGTTGCCTTCCACAATCTCATATGTGAGGCGCCCGCTCTCCCCAAAATCACTGTCCAGGGCGCGCACGGTGCCCACAGGGTAACCCACACCTGCATTGCGAGGCACCTGCAGCTCGGCGGTGTCATTGATGAGGGCGGGAAGGACGATGAGAGGCGCGTTGTCATTGACATCTAGCACAGTGACGCGTACCGTGGCATTGCTCTCACGGTGGGGTGAACCTGAGTCCTTGGCCAGCACACGAAACTCAAAGTGCTTGGTCTGCTCATAGTTAAAGCTCCTCAGGGCATAGATAGCACCATTTGTGGGGTTGACAGAGACGTAGGTGTAGATGGAGACATCACCAACATGCCCAGGCAGAATGGAGTAAGAGACTGTCCCATTTTGGCCCAAATCAGGGTCCTGGGCCAAGACTGAGCCCAGGTACTCTCCTGGGATATTGTTTTCAGGCACCTGCAGCACATAGAGGTTCTTACTGAAGCGGGGTGGGTTGTCATTCTCATCAAGGATTCGGACAGAGAAGGACTTGGTGGAGTTGAGTGGGGGGTTGCCCCCATCACGGGCTACGATGGTCACGTTGTACTCGTCCTGTGCCTCACGGTCCAGAGGCCGGTCTGTAACCACAGTGTAGAAGTTGTCATAGTTCTCCTCCAGGGCAAACGGGACAGCACCAGGCCCGCCACCACCACCCAGCACCCGGCACTGGAGTTGCCCATTCTTGCCTGAGTCACGATCGGTGACCCGCACCAGAGCGATGACAGTGCCTGGTGGGGCAGCCTCACTCAGCGCTCCCTGGCGAACGGAGACAAAGCCGATAGTGGGTGCGTTGTCATTGCGGTCAATGAGGCGAACGGTGACCTTGCAGTGTGCAGGGATAGGATTGGGCCCCAAGTCTCGGGCCTGAACGTCAATCTCAATGAGGCCATTCTCCTCATAGTCCAGATTGCCCTTCACACGGATAAGGCCGCTCTGCGGGTCTATACTGAAGAGATCACGGACGCGTTCGGGCGCGTAGCCGCTAAATGAGTAGAGTACTTCCCCGTTGGTGCCCTCGTCAGCATCGGTGGCATTGAGGTCGATGACGGCAGTGCCCAGTGGAGCGTTCTCTGGCAGCTCCACCACGTAGGAAGCAGCCTCAAACACGGGGCTGTTATCATTGGAGTCAATGAGGCGCACGTTGATCTGCACGGTGCCCGAGCGTGGTGGGTCACCACCATCCAGCGCTGTCAGTACCAGGGTGTGGTGGCTCTGCTCCTCACGGTCCAAAGGTTTCTGAATCACCAGCTCTGGGAACTTTGTGCCGTCTCCACGGGACTTCACATCAAGGGAGAAGAGACCATAGTCATCACGGGTGAGCAGGTAGGTGCGCAGCCCGTTATCCCCAGCATCTGGATCATGAGCGCTGGTGAGGGGGAAGCGGGTGCCCGGTGCAGCATTTTCTGAGATGTCCATGTCCACCTGGTCGGAGGGGAAAGTCGGCGCATTGTCGTTCAGGTCCTGGATCTCCACCTTGATCATGCATATCTCCTGGTCATTGGCGAACACCTCAAGCGACAGCTGGCACTTGGCGCTGCGCCGGCACAGTGCCTCACGGTCGATGCGCTGCTTGGTGTAGAGCAACCCGCTCTCGCCGTCCACATCCAGGAGGTGCGGGGCCGAGTTCTCCAGCACCCGGAAAGTGGACTTCGAGCCGCGGCCCCCAAGGCCACCGCCACGCTCCGGGGGCAGCAGCCCGCCACCCGGCGCGCTCGGCTGCAGCCGCGCATCGCGGCCGATGTTGCCGATGACCGTGCCCGCTCCCTGTTCCTCGGGCACCGAGTAATTCAGGTTCTTCAGCGACAGGGCAGGAGCCCAGCATAGGAATAAGCAACAAATGGAAAGGTACATCCCCGTGCAGGGGGTGRGGTGGCAGCAGCTGCAGCGGCGACCAGGGCTGTCCCCGTCTCTCTGCCTCCTACACTCCGTTTAGTCTTCCTCCTCCTCCTGTGTCTCTTCGTGGTTTTTTTTTGCGCCTTCTCTCTCCCCACCCCTGTATTTTAAGTTCCTGGACCTGTTGCTCTAAAATATCTGCAGAGTCACAGGATGAGAGGCAGCAAATGGACCATGTAGCTCAGAGAGAGGGAGCAACTGGTGGGGTGAAAGAGGGGGCTGGAGCTGGGGGGAATGAAGCAGCTTCGGCAGTGTTTCGGCAAGCGCTTTGTTGTGCTTATGATCCCCTCCTGGGTACTTCAGCTGTTCAACTTCGGCAGGAGGAGGAGGAGAATTAAAAAAAAAAAAAAAAAAAAAAAAAAAAAAAAAAAAAAGATCTTGTCCTCAGCGTAGGTGAAGCATTCCCGATCCTTGAATCTCCGTTGTACAAAGGGTAATAAGAAAAAATAATAATAATAAAAAAAATCAGCAGTGGTGGTTGCTTTTCTAAAAACATTCAAAAAGATTTTTTAATAGGTGTATCTATATATACATGGAAAAAGGGGTGGCCACAGGACTGTGAGCAGGGGGGAAAAAGCTTATTTGCTGCTCCTTGCTTGTGATGCAATTGATAGAGTGGAGCAGGGGGGGCAAGAGGGAGACAGAAGGGGAAGAAAGTCTCAGCTTGTTGTTGAAGCCCTCTTCGTGTGCAGKGAGAGGCAGTGAAATGTCTGATTGCACCTCGGGGTTGTTGGTTTTCAGGGAGTGTTTTGCTGCATTTAGAGATCTAATCTTGCATTGCTCGCGGCAGCAAGCTGCATCTCGCTGCCATCGGTATTTCCCCCCCCCGCCTCTGTCTTGTACACGCTCACTCTTTCCTTCCCAAAGCAGAAGAGGAGGGAATGGGAATTGCAGCTCAGAAGGGAAAACAAAATGAGAAAAAAAAAAAAATAGTGTCTCGTAGTTTCCTTTCTCTCCCTCTAGTACCAGCCTCCCACTCTTGCATGCATGTGTGCGTGGAGAATTAAGAAACCCACCAGCCGATCGTCATCATTAGGAGAGCAAATATATATTTTGAAAGAAATCACAGGCTGTGCTCAATCAGATGCACACTTGGGTTTCTTTAAGACAGGCCAGTAGCCGCCGCCACCACCACATCCTTTCTCGCTGTGTGTCTACGCGCGTGTTGCGTGGCTCAGGAGCTGCACTTTTCTCGCTGCAGTTTAATTCCAGTTTGCTTTTCTCTCCAGTCGGGAGGAAATCAACAGGCAACCCATGGCTGGACGCACAGATTTGAGGGGAGAAAAGAGGAAAATAAAGACAGAGTGGGAAGGCGGTGGGTAAGGAAAGGAGAGCAAGCAAAGCCACTACACACGCACACACACACACACACACACACACACACACTCAGTCTCTCGCTAAAAGGGAAACAGTCTCTGCATTCAGAGGGCTGCGCTGTCAAGTGCCTCTCTTTTCTTTCTATTCAGCATCTCCTTCCAATGACACTGCCTCCTGGTCCTCTTCATTTAAGGGAGTAGGGGGAAGGATGGGGAAAAAAACAACCTCGGTGATGAATAAAAGTGGCAGATCTTTTAATCGGCTAATTCGCTTATATTAAACCCTAGGCAGCTCCTTAGCTGGTGTGAGACATCTTAGCAACCTAAGAGCCTCTCTGGGCATCTTGGTTTGTGTACGTGGAGAGGAGAAAAAAAAATATAAGAAAAAAAATGTGCAACAGCAATACCAGCCCTGCTACAAATCTCCCTTCCCCACTTATGGGTGATAARGGCAGATATTGGGGGGAAAGAACTAAATATTATTCGGGGTTCTTTTTAACAGCTAGAAATAAATGAGTGACACATCCAAAAATGCAGGTGTTTGAGCCTGCTGGATGAGTCAGATCCAGTGGAACAAATCACATTCACTATCGCCTCATGTTCCTCCCTTCACAGACATTAGTTGCAGCTTCTTCCTAGCGCTTTTCTGACTCACTCTATAGACAGAACAGATATATATTTATATTTATCAGATTTAATATTTTGGAAGGAAGGAGAGCAAAAAGATAAAGAATGGGGGGAGGGGGGGGTGTCGGATTGAGCTGCACTTTTACTATACCTCTTCCTCCGGGAGACTGAGGATCAGGAAAACAAGGCTGTTATCCACTCACTGGCATAGAGGCGCGTCTGTCTCTTGCTTTGCTGAGTGTTTTTAACCACCTTCCCTCAGTGCTATGTGTGAAACAGTCAGAGAGCTCTCATATTAAAAGGAGAAAAAAAAAGAAAAAAAAATCATAGGTTCCCGACATACAGCTAGTTCCAAGTCTCAGTTCTGCACTTTTTTTTTTTTTTCCTTCTTTAAGTCCGGACCCAAAGTACACAGTTAATTCTGCAATCTGCGGAAGAGGGGCTGCTATGCAAAATAAATAAATAAATAAAGAGAAATCTCTTCTCTCCGCCTCATAGATGGGTGGCCCCTCTCAGAGAGACGGTCGCCAGTCCTGGCCAGGCAGCACGCGAAGGCGACGCCGATCCCCGGTATGGCAAATCCATGGCACCAGCCGCCCCGCAGGTAACGAGCGGAGACTTCAGCGAGGAGAAGAAAAAAAAAAAATAAAAATAAAATTAAAAAAAAAAAAAAGGAAAAAATCAACAGTTGGAGCCGCGTCTCTCCACCTCCCCCCGCTCCTTCCTCCCTTCCCCGCTCACTGCAGCACTCGCCGCGCTCCCCGCGCCGCCGCCGCGCTCGCCCAGCGCCGCTCGCCGACTGCCTCTATTCACCTCACGCCGCCGCTTAAACATTGATACTGATTCCCCGCCAGCCAATCGCCGCCGCCGCCGGCCGCCCGCCGCCCCGCCTCCCCGCCAATGGGAGGCGGCCGCAGGGCGGCGGGGCGGAGCCAGGGCCGGGCTCCCCATCCCTCCCCCGGCGCCCGGGTGTCATTGATTAGATCGCTTAGATGGGCGCGGGGGGGGGGGGACACATGGGGATGAGGAGGGGGTACTAACGATGTGAGAAGGGCTTGTTGCTTGCGAACTACAGTGCCGCCTTCCTACGCGTTGAAGCGCCTTCTCTTCGCCCCCCCCGCCACGGGCTTTATTTATTTTTTAAGGGATATTAACAAATCTTCCACGATCCTCGAAAAAAAATTTATATATATATATATRTATATATATATATATATATAATGCAATAGGAGGAGGCACTGGGGCCAGCTCTCCTCTCTCCGGGAGCTCCGTGCGCGCGATCGCGGCCCCGTCGCGGGTGGCGAGGCAGGTGTCGACCCCCACGRAGGGCTGTGCGTGGCATTCGTGTCTCTCTGTAGTGGCGCTGGGAATCGCAACAACACCCGTCGAGCAAACGCAACAATCCATCCACCCACTCACCCCCGCCCGCCTCTCACCGCCCGCTCCGCGCCTCGCGTGGGCTCCCCCCCCGCCCTGGCCGGCGCCCCACGGCGTGGGGGCCCCGCGGGACGGAGGCGCAGAGGGCAGGTGAGTGTCATGTCCCTCGGGACCGCGCCCACGGGGAACCGCCGCTTGCAGGGCGTGGGAAGCACGGATCGCGCAGGGAAATCCCGCCCCGCGGCGCTCCCGAGTGTTATTTGAGGAGCGGCTCTTAGCGGGGTGGTTCCCCTCGCTCCTCGCTCGCCGGGATAACCTTTTCCAGCCTCCTTCGCGTTATTTATGATACCACTCAACTTAAGAGGAAGTCCTGCGAATTTATGCATCCAAATGAGCAGCCCCTTCCAGACCCCTCCGCAGCCCCCGAGACCTCTTGGTGGCTCTGAAATGGAGAGCCCTGCCGTGCGCGGCGAGGCACCGCTATGAAACCAGCGCTGTGTTAAAGCGCAGAATATAAATAAACTACACGTACATTAGCGCTGCCGTAAACTCACTACTTTCAGACGTGCCAACTTTCCGCGCGAGAGCGGCAGACAGACGGAATCCGGAGCCTGTTTACGAGCCGGCTATGCTTCCCGCCCCAGGGCTTCAGATTAGCTGGGAAAAACCAGCGTGTTCGGGCTAAGGCACTTATTTCTAAAAGCCACATCTAAGAGCAGCGCGGGGAGCGAGCGCCCGAGAAAGCCCCGGGGTGAGTGACGAGGGGACCTCGAGTCCTGCGCTTTCCGAAATCTCCTCCTTCTGCAGCCCTTGCAGGATATCTCGGGATGTCCACGTAGCTGGCACGCGAGTTCTTCTAGTAGGGGGGGAAAAAAGCAAAATATATATATACAAAATAAAATAAAATATAAATTAAAGGGGGTCATTGCAATTATGTAATGGCTCCCTCTAGCGTGCTGCAGTTACTGCTGCATGTGGGGTATATTCTGCGTGTATGTGCGCGCACGTGTATGCACGTAGCTTATCTCTACTTCTCCTTAGGAAGGAGCAGGTGGAGCAACCGCAAGATACAGTCATTTCGCTATTACAGTGGCATATACTATATGATATGTTTATGATATATATTTTGATTTTCATATTAAAAAAGATATATTTGTCAATTCTTTTTCTTTGTTTTTCTTTTTTTTTTTTTTGATAAGAATAATCCCTATTCTATTTTTTTTTCTTAATATGACTCAGCAATACACAATAAATACTCTGTCTTCACAATGCATTTGTAGGCACTCTGCAGTTTGTAAAAGAAGTGCTGCTCAGGATTTTATATTAAGGGGTATGCTATGCAACCCAATTAAGTGGAGTCTATGCTTGTAAAATGTGCCTCTTTTTTTTATCCCGTGTCCTGCAGCTCATGCCACTATGTTGCCACTAACAATATACATAGAATACTTGGGAAAAGAAGAAAAAYCTTAGTGTTAGATCTTTAAATCTATTTCATTATCAGTTTACTATCAGGAGATGGTTCTAAGTGAAATCCTTACCCCTTCCCCAACCTTCTACAAGTCACTGAGATTTTCAATGCTAACTTCAGTGCAGCCACTTTCATTTTCAGATGTGACTGRTTATAGGCAATTTCTAATGAGTTCTTGGAAACAGCATCATTTTAAAAAATCTTTTAAAATCTCTTTAAAAAATCGTGGCCCTTCACCTCTGTAGAGATTTAGATACCTAACTGGAAATAGTCARCTAAAAATTATGTCTCTATATAAATATGTGCATCTGCCAGGGTAAAGTTTGTTGCAGCAGATAGCTGATAATAATAAAATGATATTACAAGTGATTTTTTTTAAAATTTGTTGGATGATTTTAGAGTGTTTCTTTTTTTTCAGTGAAATCTGTAGCACATACAACATATTTGGTTTGGTTTAGAGCAGTGTCATACTTCGGTCTACATTCAACATAAAATTGCTGTATTTGTGACATAGAAAAGCTTCAGATGGAAAACTGTGAATAATACTAATGAATCCCAACAATACCTGTATGTTGTAAGATATCACTGTGTATTCAGTACATAGCATGTATGTAGTGAAAAAAATACAGAATGCAAACAAAACAAAAACAAAAATTAAAATCCTTGTTAAACAGTTCTGTGAGAAAGTTCTATTGCAGAGAAGCTAATAGATAAAATGATGGCTACAAATCCTAAGTAATAAAATACACACAAAGAAGGATTTTACTACTGAAGAAAAACATATTGAATACACTGTGTAGGAGAAGCTCAACAAAGAAGCAAAGGATAGTGTAACGATCCTAACAAATGACTTGAATCCCTTCTATATGAACTGTTCAAACAGTGCCTTGGAAAGCTCATTTTTACATTTTAAATATTTGTTTACTGTAGCCTGAGATCAAACAGAATAACAGACATAAACAGGAATTAAAACAACTTTTTAAAAGTATTGATTAATCATGAACGTAGTAAAATTATATTCAGAATTTTTCACAATAAAACATAGCCTTTATTATTATATCTGCAACAAGGACTGGTAAACCATTCTATATATTTGAAAAATAAAAGAAATATCTTCCATCAAAAGTGTTGAAATGAAAATCTTTAGTCTCAGTGTGAAAGGTACTTAAGCATAGCACAGAAGTCCCAGAACAAATATCCCTAAACAAATAAAAGAAAATAGGAAGGCAAAGAGAAGATCAATATAGTTAAATGTCAAGGTTCAATACTTAAGTTATTTGAGCCTAAAATGTATCATTGGGAAAGTCCAAATCCAATCAACTTCAAAAGAAGGAAGTAAAATTAGAAAGGCTAAGAAGAGATTTTGAAGAACAAAGAACCTATATATCAAAGAAAGAAAATATCTACTAACAAACAAACATATGCTTTTTCAGAATGGGGAAGTCGTGATAGAGACTGTGGGTCATTTGACTGACCAGCTATAAAAGAAAAAACAGAGCACATAAGAATATTGAAGAAAAATTACATTTCTATGCTACAGTCCTCACAGAAAATGAACAGATTTCCTCAAGTCAACCAGTCATGCTTTCTTTTTTTTCTCTTTTTTGTAGTAACAAAGATGAGACATGAGTATGTACTGAAGTGTCAACAGAGAGATTGTTAAAGAGCAAAACCTATCTAACACTAAATGATTGTTATCAAGAGTTCTTACAGAAACGAAAAATGAAACAATTGCCAAAAACATGCAGTCATTAAGATCAGTTACTCTGAGGGCTAGAAAGTACTACATCTGTTTAACTTTCAAAAAGACTGAAAGGGTGATTGTTGGTTAAGAAATTATTATGTGGCAAGTTTTGCTTTTTGTGCTAGAAAATTAATTGAAATGACAATTAAAAATAGAAATTATATGCTATCTAGAAGAATAGAGATAGCATATCTCTAGCACGACATAAAGAAATCTCTAGAAGAGTCAGAAAAGTCCTGCCCAGAAACTCAATGTAATCAATAGAAACCTTTCCACTGATTTGATTTGGACATAATGACAAAGCAATACAACTGACGTAAATTAAAATAACATTCCTTCAAATTATTAGTATTACTTTGATGTGTCAACAACATAATAGATAAAAATGATTTTTATGTTTCTATATGAGTAGTTTTATGTCAATTTAACCCTCAGCCCATAGGAGCGAAACATGTGGAGGAAAGAGAGGGAGCAAGGAATGAGAGTGCACTGTGTAAAGGCTAAAGAAAGTATGTGTCAGWTAGATGATGTTAGTAGAGAAATTGCGGAACAGGAACTAAGAACTGAGATAGATAGGAAAAGGATTCACACTTCACACTGAAGTGAAGCATGTGGCTATTTAAAATGGCTTTCCCTGACATATTTAAAAATATGTCAGGGAAAGGGATATAGCAAGTAGGATATAGACCCAAGGTTGCTGCTGAAACAGTGGAGAACTGCTTTCACTTAGCTGGAGCGCATCATGTTTAAATTTAAACTTCTGTTATTTTGCTAAAGAGAATTTTGACTCATTAGGCTCATGAGAAAAGATGACTTGTTGAAGCCTAAGTGGCTTAGGACTTGAAATCTCAAGCCTGTTTTCAGATACGTTACCTATGAACCATTTAGCACAGAATACCAAAGTGTCACGTTCTTTTATTACAGTGTGAACAAGACACAATTTGAGAGAGAAGGTRGGTTTCAGACAAAGTGCAAATTTTCTGAATAATATTTTCTGAATAGTAAATAACTTAAAAATTCAAGCAATCTGTTTCCAAGCAAAGGAACTAATCAGAACTATTTTCCTACGGATGTGTGTTTTAAGTTTCCCAGTGCAGCTAGTAGCAGCTCTCCACTATGTCTTTAGTCATGACTGCTTTGCAGATGTGCATGGCTGTTTGACCAGAAGAGGCTGCATGGCCAG